GTGTGTGTGTGTGTGTGTGTGTGTGTGTGTGTGTGAGGGAGTGTACGTGTGTGCGACAGACCGAGGGTGGTTGCATTTGCAAATGCTATACAGGTTGCATAGGCTGCTATAGCACCAGATGCGTCCATAACAGCATCAGAGTGACCAAGTGTAACAATTGTTGCTGTTGCAGCAGTAGCTGCAGCAACTGCCACATCTAAAAAACAATAAATTAAAATAATAATATTAATAATAATAAAAATTACCACGTCAATCCTGTGACGTCAAGGGGGTTGGGGATAATTGGGGGCAGTTAAGGACAAATAAGGCCGTTAGGGGCTGTTAAAAAAAAAAAAAGTTAGGGGCGGTGAGGGACAATTAGGGATAATTAGGGGCGGTTAGGGACAATTAGGGGCAATTAGGGGCGCGTAGGGACAGTTAGGGGCAGTTAGGGGCGGTTGTGGGCGGTTAGGGGAGGGTGGGTGACGAGCACGGGTGGTCACGGGTGGGTGCATACAATTATGGGTAGGTACGGGTGGGTACAAATAAAGAAAATTGGGTAGGGTAGAGTATGGGCGGTTGACAAACGGTTTGGGTTCAGGTGGCTATGGTTGGTTATGACAAAAATTGTTCAGGTATGGCTAGTTACATGTTGAAGAGGCTCATGTAGGGTAGGTCTGGGTATACTTTTTTTTTTTCTTAGCAGGTGGAGACGGGTAAAGGTCCGGCAGGCCAGGTATACAGTGGGTATGGGTGGTTGGCTTTCAAAGAGGGTGTGGTTAGGTCAGGTACAGGTATTCCTTAAAATACTTGTTGCGAACTCTGGGGGGTATGGGTGGAAGGGGTTCCAGGAGTGGGATGGGAATGCGGGGCGATGGGGGTGGTGGAGCGGGGAGGGGAGAGGAGGACGCTAGGGGAGGAAGGGCCGGGGAGGCGGAAGGGCCGGGGTCCGAACAGGATGGGGGAGGGCAAAGGGGTATTGGAGTTACGGTTCGAATGGTCGACATGGTATGGCAGTTGCGGTCGGGGTGAACCTGCGGCTCACTGCCTCCTGGCTCAATCATGGTACTGTGTGGAGGAGAGAAGTGTTGTGAGCAATCCTTGGGAAAGGATGAGCCCCAAGATCTGTCTCATATGATAGGACAACCATGTCTGGCTGGTCTGAAGTCTTGTGATTAGGAGCTGTCAGAGCTCATCTTCAGTGAACCATTCCATGATTGCCTGGATGACCTTGTTGTTGTGTGCCTGTTCTTTGGGGAGGTACAACAACACTGCCTAAATTTGAGGGGGGAAGGGAAGCCCTTGGGGGATTGATATACAAGAGAGTATCTCATTTAAGGCCATGTCCCAAATACGGTGCAGGTGGGCAGCAATGAGATTTAACTCAGGCTTGCCTTTCCAACCTATCAAAGCAACCCCAATTGGCAGTTTGTGGTAATGGGTTCACATTTTAACAGGCCAATGGCCGGCTGTCCTTGGGAGTTGTAATGGGTTAATAAGAGCAGCAACACACTTTCCATCAAGTTTGATAAGTTCCACAATTCCTGCCTCTCTACCCAGTCCTTCATCCTTCCTCTTGTCGGCATTTTGGGGGACACTTTCCCTTCTTTGTCCAGGGGGTCGGAATTACTCTGCCCCTTGTCCTCGAACATCGTGATCACTGTCATCCTCCTCTGAAGAGAGAGGAGGTCAATTGGGTGATACCGGTCTTGGTTTACCTGATGGATGTGCATCTGTCCCTCATCATGCTCTACAATTTGTAAGGAGGAAAAATAATCCATTTTTGCGAGGAGGTGCTTCGGCGGGGGGGTGCCGGTTGTTTGCTTTGTAATCCAGTTTGTAGATTGTAAGGACGTTGTCAGGAGTTTGGTGGTCAAGGGGTTGAGCCACAGTCGGCTGGCCAACCGGTTGAATCTTGAACAGACTGCTCTTGATGACCTTATCGGTGACCCCTTCCGCTAGGGTGGTGATATATTCCCGATCTATATCTGCAGTGTTGTGAAATGCATCCACCGTTTCAACCATCGGGGGGCATGTGGCTATCATATCCGCAATCACCTCCCAGTAGTGTGTCGGGAGAGATTCGGTAATTTGCACGTTAACATTCTTCAGATACTCATGCAGCACCCAACCCGCTATTGCTTTGAGCCTTTTTTGGATTCTCTTTTTTTGAGACCATTTTTTGTCCTGTGACTTCCGCTGAGGGTCGGGCGGGGGGTCCAATTCCATACATTGTTGTGGTGTGTTCTGTTGTCTCTCTCCAGGCGGTTCGAGCAGCGGTCCCAGTAGGGGAGATGGTGGCCCGGGTGGGATCTCCTCAGAGAGCTCCATCGGGATTGGGGTCTGGTGCAGGTCCTCGGGGCAAGGCAGATGGAGTACTTCCTCCTGGTCGTGGGTTCCATGCAGCTACATGGCCTGTTATGCCTGGGGATTGAGCAACCAAGCACAGTTGTTCCTCACCTGCGTTTGCCACATTGTGAAACCCGGGAGTAGAGCTGCTGAGCAATTGACGTTGTCTCAGCCATCACACAGCCTTGCGGGAATATTCCTAGACTCTGTTGGAGTTGCGCCGCCCTGTGAAGGATGGTCCCTGTGTCGCAGCATTGGTCTGAGGGGGAGGGCCAGTATCGGGCGGAGTGGGGGCATAGACTCCACATCCATTTCCTGTCTCGAGTCTCCCGGGTCTGCATGTGTCTGCGGGGAGGAATGGGAGAACCTCCATCGCCATTTGCTTCCCTCCGGTCGTGGAGATCACAATTTCTGCTCCCTGGGAGGCTCCCCCTGATTGGTGGGGTCGAGGCATGTTATCTGTAGTCATAGTCTGCAGTTTTCCCATCTGCACCTCTGTCCACAGGATGGGGGGTGGAGGAGGGGGAGGGTGGACGGTTTGGGCCTTTGCATCAGGATTTGTGGGTGGCTGTTCGTGTTTGCCCATCCCGAGTCCATCAGTCTGTGGCTCTCCCATCATTACCTCTGTCACCCCAATTGGTGGTGGGGGAGGGGGAGGATGGTCGATTTTGATGATCGCGACAGGATTTCCGGGTGACTGTTCCTGTTTGCCACCCTCGAATCCCTTAGTCTCGTAGTCCCGATCTCCACATTCCTCGTCGATAAGACGGGGAATTCGAGAGCTCACTTGTGTTTCCTCCCCCGACTTTGGAAGTTGCGGATATTTTGTTTCCCCAGTAATTGTTGAAACAACCTCTCCGAATCTGTTGTTTCCAGTGTGATCATCAGGTGAGGTGGCTGGGCAGGGTAGTTGTTGCATCTGTAGTAGAGTCTCCTGCGTTCCCCTATCTTTTGCGGGCAGTTTATACGGGTGGCCCGAACCATCGATGGTCAGAATTTGATTTACGTTGTGGCCAGTGTAGAGTTTGGCAGGCAGGCCTACGAGATTCAAATTTGAGGCACCGTCGAGCGGCTGAGGGCAAGGTTCGTGTTGTTGGCCTTCGGGCCCATGCATGATTGCCTTGATCTTTGTTGTAGCGTTCTCTATTCGACTGTACTTTGCCATCCCTTTGACAAGGCCATTGACTTTATCCTTGACTTTGCCCAACCCAGATGACGCTTCCTGTTTGCGTTCTGTAGAGGTCGGCGACTGCAGGTGGGAAGGGGTCTTGCCACTCCTGGTGGGGGGATTGTCCCCACCCTCCCCATCCTCTCTATCACAGGTGGCGTTTACAGTGATGGTGGACTGTGCCCCGGGGCAGCCAGAGGATAATTGTGGTAGTAGCCCCTAACGACATCTGTTGAGGCTGCGTTCTGAGTTCCGTTGTGCCCGTGTGTACATGTCAGTCAGCTTTGGGAGCGTCCTTGCCCTCTCTGTTCTTGTCTGTCCCATCCTGATTATGCTGCTTCAGAGGTTGGGGCCTCGTTTCATTTTTCACACCCGCTTTTTTTGCACCAACAGGGTGGTTTCTTCTTTGGACTCCTCCATTTCCCCCTTCTCTTTGTCTGAGTCGTTGATGGGTTGTAGAAGGAGATTCTGGTTTCCCTTCTTGAGTTTAGGGGGATTGGAGTTCTCTTGCAGTTGGTTCATTGGAGTGTTAGATGTCACCTGTTTATCTGGTGTGATGATCGCCCCCTACTGGTGTGGTTGCTCAGTTCCGGTGTTGTCCTTGTTCCCTGTGACCATTGAAATCTGTTGGGGGGTTTTGGGAAATGTCCTGTGCTCTTTGCTCCGAGGCGTTTCTGTCCTTTTTCACTCGCCTTTCTCTGAATTGCAGTTTCTCTTTCCCCTTTCCTTTGTTTACGGTGAGTCCTCCTGATCTGGCTCCTCTGCGGTGATTATTACTTTTGGTAAAGGGGGACCTTGGGGGGGCAGTGGGTAGGACAGCTGTCCGACCGCAGCCAGGCCTGTTGGGGGATGAATTTCCTTCATGTCGGCTGTTTTCCGGCTGGCGGGCAGTATCAGGTGACTGTCCCGTTTTGTAAGCCTTTGCGGGATGACCGTCCGGCCCGGAAACTCGTGGCTGTGGTGGGGGTAGTCCCTCCCCCAAGCTCTGTGTGCGTTGTTTCGGGGGTACAGCCCCTTCGGGTCCGTATTGTGGGGTACCTTCCCTCTCCCAGTGCCATTGGCCTGTGTATTGTCCTTCCGTTGTCCGAAATACCTAGCCCCGGGCCCGTCAAAAAGAAGAAAAAAAAGAAAAAAAAAAAGAAAAAAAAAAAGAAAAAAAAAAAGAAGGGATCTTCCAAGATTCTTAGGAAGCTTTCTATAGTTGATCGGGCACAGGGCATCCGTGTAAAGGTGGCCTCTTGCTTTGCACACGTGGCACCAGGGGTCCTGCGGATGGCTGAGGGGGACAAAAAACTTTCTCCCTTCCGAATGATAGTGCCATTCTCCTCTGAGAGGGAAAACGTCATCAGGGGACCAGTCAACCGCGATCAATAGAGAATCATCTCTCTTAGCCAGGAATTGAGGAAGGTCATTGATAAATCCTCGGATTGGAGCTATCTGTTCGACCATTTTGAGTATTTCTCCTTGTATGTGGATGGGCACAAACCTGAATTCAATCCAATAGTTGTTTGCCATGAGATGTTGTCGCCTGTCGTCTGGTGTGACTGACTTGGGGGGTTTCCAACAGTCAATTCTCAAGGGCACGTTTCGAAAACGCACATTAGTGAGGTGCAGCAAGTTGTTTTTATCTATCGGATTGAGGGTCAGAACCATCACCGTAGACATCGTTGGGGATTCAATGAGAAAATGGTCATTCACGTCTTCCTCCGACAGTTTAGGAGAACGCAGTATTCCGAACACCCATTTGAGTCTATCATTCAATTGTGATTTGAGAGCTGCTTCCGGGAAGGAGAACTGGATCGCATGCTCTGCGCAGGTCTGATTGCGAATCGCAATAGTTTGGTGAGATGGATTAAAAGACTTCTCTTTAACCCACAGACTCCTTGGCAGACCCTGGCATGAGAACAAATAGCGAGATTGGCACCTGAAGTACCAAATGCTATTGATCCAATGATATGGTTGGGGAACAAAAGTTGGTCAATTCCAAGAGGTGTCTCGCTAACAACAGCACAGGAGATAGAAACAAATAGAAACGCTGCAAGGACAGATATAAAAAGGGATCCGTTCTGGCCCAATCTTCTTAAGGTATGGAGAAAATTACCATTAAAAGATAAGTGTCCCCCAAAAAGATGGGAGGAAGTCCGTCGCCAACCATTGTTCAATAACAGATTTATTACAGATTCAGAGGGGTACACATTACACTGCATGGACTCTCCTTGGAGAGCATGGGTTAAGAATGGGATCCTAATAATAAAGGACATATGGAACAAAGAAACAAAAGATTGGTATACCCCTGCCCAACTCCAACCCAAACTTCGGTATTGCAGAAACTCAACGATAGCATTGAACACAATAATTGAGTCAATTCCATTAGATTGGGTAAAAATTTTAAGGAAAGGGCAAAACATTCAAGAGGGAGATTGGGTAGGTTTTTTTGATAATAAGCAGCAAATAGAGAATGTGGTCATGATGGGAGATGATTCGACGGTAT